AGCAGCTCGCAAAGTATATATAAGCATCAAAAGAATCAATCGATATCGCGGAAATAGTTTACAATTTGATACGTTTGATGCATTGAAGTATCGACTTGCTATATTTAATTAAGAATGGAATATACAAGCAATTAATCTCCTGCGAGTAAATAAACAATAAATTAAGTTAATTATAACTTACTCACTTTGAAGCTGCTCTGTCGTCACTTGATGTCTCCCTAAACTTTTTCTTCTCCTGTTTGTCTTTTATTGCTTCTTCATTGAACTCACACAATTATTGGTTTCAACGTGTTTACGAAGTTAATTACAATAAAGAAAATAATTGCATTTCTTTGAGAATAATCTCTGACGACCCAGCAACGACTAAAGCAAACTTTTAGTTCTAATTTCGACATACAAAATGGCAACAGGTTGAACGCAGTTGTATCAATAATAATAAACTGCAAAGATCAAATGCTATATGACAATAAATTCGTTGCCGCTTCAAAATATTTGATATTTGATAATAAAATCAGACATTAAATATTTTATGTCTGTATATGAAATTGAATTTGATAAATGGATTATCATCGTGTATAAAATCTAAGGTTTATATAAAAAATTAAATTTATCCTGTTTTTGAGGAATAAAAGAAACTTTTATTTTATACACATATATAAATTAATGAATTAGTATTATCATCCTGCGACAAAATTTTATGTTTCGAAAAAAATAAAATTAAAAGACATTACTAAATTACGAATTTTTTTTATTATAAATCAATATAATTCTTTTTATTTGATTAAAATTGTGCCAAATTTTTTCAAATTAAAAAATTTGATCTCTGTAAATTTATATTTAAATTCATTAATTCTATTTAAAATATGTTTAATGTCAATGTTTAATGTAAATTAAAAATAATTTTATTTAAAATTATTTGAAAGCTATTATAGAAATAAATTTAGCATTATAATATATATAAAAAAATTATTTCAGTGTTCAATATTTTTGAAATTATTAAATTATTGACAAAAAATATTCTATTACTATTTCTCTAAAAGAAGTTATGTTTTAAAATTATTTTATTTTAAACAAATTGAATTTATTAAAAAGTACTTTTGTTTCTTTTCTTGTTTTCTATTTGAATAACATTCATATTATACATGTATAAATAAAAATATTCTAATAATAAATATATATTGAGATCTACATTATAAAAGTAGAATAGAAAAAGATTAGACACAACTAATGAAATATTCCGTTAAATGCACACATAGGACATGTTTGTAAGTTACATAATTTATAGATGTAATACGAATTTACAACAAATAATGCTTTTACCGGCAGTGTCGAAAAAAGTATACATGTGGCTATGTAATTCTACATAGTCTCTAAAATGGGTCCAGATGGCGATACTAAACGAGGTTTGATAGAAGAATTTTACGAAAAACGTCGAAATAGTCGCTTTCTGGCTCCTCTTTAATGTATACTTTACATATATACATTTACATGTAATGCAAAATTATTTTATTATAATTATTTCTATTATATTTGTTTATATTTCTCCATAATTTCAATCCATGGAAGAAAGAAATAAATGTTGTATTATTTTTTAATCAAGACTGTTGCTTATATATATCTTAAAGAAAATTATTGTACAGATAGAAACTTATTTTTTATCAACAATTCTCATTGCAATCATGCTTATATAATATTACAGACAACATTTTTTGTATTGTAAAAGAGAGCTTATGCATTTAATATTAAACATCCATCTGTACATTTAAAAAAATCTATAATAAAATTGAATGTTAGATAAATAAAACTTAAACTTATGGCTAATAAAAATATAATTTATATACCTATAGAACTTGTACAGAGATAAAAATATATTAAAATAATATTTTAAAATATTTATTACATATCACAATTTTTTTCATTTCAACTTATTTTGCAAATAAATGCTGTGTGTAATTCGATAACAAGTTTGACAAGTAATATGTTAATAATATTAAAATGCACGTTTCATTATTCATTATAAGCAATGAAAATTACGTTTTCAACGTCGACTTGAACGTTTTATAATATGTTCGCAGAAGTGTAAAAAGAATATCAGCGTATAAGAAATAGAGGAGAGCTTCTCTACTTCGAGTCAGAAACTGAAATAAATCAAAAAGATTGGAAGATATGGGAGAGTGGCCGAGAGTAACTTATAACGAGACTCACGTCGTCGCCGGTACCCCATAATTACTGGCGCCGATGTAAAAGAAAGAAAAAATGCAAAACAAAAACGGACGGCCGCCGTGCAGCCACCTTTTAAAAAGGTGTTAAAGTGTGCTTTGTGCTCGTGTGTTCCACGCGGGGTAGGTGTTAATTTAAAACAAACCTATGGATAGAGCGCCGATTTGAAATTCGGCCGCCGTGTACTTTAATTCGTCCTGAAATTTCGACCGGTCCTCAGTGGCGTATCGAGAAGATTTCTTATTCTTCTCGATATTTACGATATTCTCTTCCGTCTTATATAATAAAGAATATCTACTCGAGTTGTGCGATTTAATCCAATTATTTTTTATGATATATAATTCTGTATATAATTATATAGAGAGAGAATTATGTTTGTAAATTCATTTATTTATTCTTTTTCAAATTCTCATTTATTTCTTTTCATATTTACTCGAGTTGTGCGATTTAATCCAATTATTTTCTATGATATATAATTCTGTATATAATTATATATAGAGAGAATTATGTTTGTAAATTCATTTATTTATTCTTTTTCAAATTCTATATATTAAGATGTATTATAAATGGCAAAAAATGTTTTATAGATAATAATAAAAAAATGATTATCATATGAATGAGAAAAAATTCTGTTTAATTAGAAATAAGAAATATAAGGCGGATTTTTTTGCAAAATTTTCGTAACATTCGAACAATTTTGACAAGCTCAGAACACGCCACTGCGATAGCAGATTTTCGTATATAACGTGTAATCAGCACAGCAGTTTCGAACCAATTTTTTTTTATGTTTACCTTCGGGCGCAGTGGCCACCTTCCCTTCGCACCTTCCTATTTCTTTCTCATCACTCGAAGATGATTTTACGATTCGCGTCCACGAAGCGATGAGCAACGCCCTCCAGAGAGTCTAGGGCGAAAGTTGATACACGTATAAAAACTACGCGGCCACAGCAGTAAATTGTTGTTTTTATTAGCATAAAATTATCACGCGAAAACGAGATAAATATGCGAGGTACTGAAAACACAAAATGCGTTAATGTGCGCTCAATGCATGAAATGCACTCATTATATGTATATATGTATATTAGTTATTTGCGATTCGAGGATGCTTCTACAACATTATCACGAATCCTTTGAGTATTCAGCTTCTCCTTCAGGATAAACCTTCCAGCTAAGCTCTCCTACCATCAAAATGTATCTATTCGGACGATTGTATTATATATAATTTTTATAATATATATATATATATATATTCGTAATTTATTTTTTTCAAGTAAAGGATTATATCTCATATTTTAACACAAGTAAAACCGGATTAAAATATTCAAGAATATAAATTAAATTTGCCGCATTAGTAAACATGATAAATTTCGATCGAATTATTGCGAAATAAATAAAATACTTTACATTCCACAAAAAATGAGAGCTAAACATCGTATGAAGTAAATGAATTCATTATCGCCGCGAAACATATATATAAGAAAATATAAAATAAATGTATACAAGATATTTTATTTCTGCTAGTAATATCTCCGTTTATAATCTCACGTAGAGCAAAAATAGACAGTTTCCTGATGTTCCCGACAGTTCGAGATGCGAGCAATTGATTAAATCTATTAAAAAGTCGATCGTATCTGATTATGCAAATGATCCCGCAAACGTTATCACTGATATCTCATTATTATCGATAAGACAATTCTTCTCTTATCGTCAGAGATTGCGAGAGAAACACCGAACGATAAACGCGGCAATTTTTCCTGTAATATTCCTTCCGATAAGAAACGAGATGGGAAGCCCGATTTTTCAGGTAAGGCTCCGAGCGCACATCTAATTCATTACAGATTCGATCGATCTTTCTCGTCGGTCCAGGCGCTAACGAGACAGCTCCAGAGCTCCATTAAGATTCCGGCTTATCACGATCAAGGAAGATATGTCGGGCAGCACGCGAAAAGACTCGTTTTCGTTTCAAATTGAAAACCGCGCCGATATCGGGTCGAACAATCGACCCTCTAATCGCCAGTTAGTCGGTTCGGGTTTGCCGCGATCTATCGATTTATCGGTTCACGGAATTAGCATTCGAGGCGGGTGCATCTCACCCGCGGATCTCTATGCGGGCTGCATCACGTAAATTTCAGGGTCTCCCTGCAGGAGATGGATCTCACTTTTGCGATCTATGCGTAAATCATCGGCTCGCTCTGTCCTGACGAGTAGATCCGCGCGCCCGATACAATTCGCGCGGTATTACCATATTATGTGGATTAGGAAAAGAATAATAAATCAAGGTGAGAGAGAGAGATATAATGACGGCGCTCTCTCTTCGCGATTACTTGGACACGGAGTAACCGCACAAGAAACGAGAAACATAATAAACGGAGCCGCGTGCATCGCGTCGCCCGAAGAGAAAGAACGTTCTAATTCTGCACGGCCCCACCGGAGAACAGACGTAGCGCGTGGCCATATTTTACGGGCGGAGGCGTGAAACGGATAATTTTCGAAGGAAGCAATAATCGGGTCGTATATCAGGGACCGCGCGGGAACGGCCTTCAAATTATCGGAAACGAGGGCCAAAACTAATGGGCCACGCGCGTTAAACCGTTTGGCTGCTGCCTCCTGGCTGACTCGACACGATGCTGATTCACGCCAATCCATTTCGCACCGCACGAGCCGAAAAACTTTCTGGCCGCTTCTCAACGTCAGAACGTCTCGAATGAAGTCTCGAAAAAGATATAGGAGGGATGAAATGCGTTTTCAAATATTTATCATTTTTTTTTCTCAATGGCTACATGTAATGGACCGTCAATTTTACCAGATCTGATTGCTGATGAATCTCAACGGCATACTGTCGCAAATCGTTCCTGCGATCGCTGTTTGAACTGACATGGTGAGAATTCTAAAATTTATATCGGTGTAATTCAACGTCGACATCAGGAAAATCGGCATTCGATCCGATATGATCCAGAGTAAGCCACGTTTCACCTAAAAGGAGTGGTGAAAAATGATGAAAAATAACGAGTTTGACGGGAAAATTCGATATAGCTGGTCTATTTACTATTTCGATATAACTGCTCTAATTACGTAAGCGCTTGCATTACCTTAATGTCTGCTGGAAATATCATAGCCTCGTCGTGTCTGGCGATAACTGCTTGATTAATCGGCGCGTAAGGTAGCATAGAATTCCAACAGCCGACTGCATTCTGATCGATCAGGTTGAAGAACTGAAGACCGTTCTCGTCCATCACAGATGCCGTGCAATGAGAAAGCGGTCCTCTCGACGGCAAAACCTACATTGTATATCAAAATTAATCAAATGTGATTAGAAGAGATTCTTTATTTAATTTGAAATAAATATGATAAATTATTTTCTTGTTGCAGTTACAAATTCAAAATATTTTTATTTCTTAAAAAAAAGGCTTCTTTTATTGTGTAAAAAAATCTGGACAGCAAAATAAAGGACGAAAAATGTATTGAATAATATTATTAAATAAATACACAAAACTGAGATACCTGAAAATCATGATAACTGTTTTGCGCCAATCGCTGGTCTCTCAAGATCCTCGTGGAAACCGCAAACTCCCGATGACTACTAAGAGGGTGAAAGAAGAGAGTTCGATAGCCATCTGATTGTATCGGTGACAGGCTCATTCCAAAAATACCCTCCTCTCCCCACTGGAAGTTCAAGCCTCCGATATTGTAATCACCCGTCAAAGGATCCGGCATGAAATAACTGTGCGTTATTCGCCAGGATGTATTTTGCTGCCACGAATACACGATCAGACCGTAGCCGAGTTCGTCGGACATATAAGCGAAGGCATCATCGCAACCGTTTTTCCCGAGATCAACCGCGATATTGGCAATGAAGGTATTCTGATGAAATAAATAAAAAAGTCCGTCCAGATCGATTATAAAAATCAGAGATATAATCTAAGTCGAGCGCGAAAAGAGCTGTTTACCTGATTAATATCTTCCGATCGGAGCCTGTATTGCCTTATAATTCTATCCGTTCTCAAGTCGAAAACATTCAAGGTATAAGGACAGGCTTGCACAGTGGTATCGCCGATTCCTATCGTTCCGGTGTCCAACACCCACAATCTGTCACACGCATCTGCGTGAATCCTACAAAAATATTTATCAAATGTTTTACAAGATGTTTTCAAGCTAATTGATTAAGTAACATCACCTGTAGACGGTGGTCAACCCGCTGCCGCAGTCACCAGCTCTGTTCTGGGACCAATTCGGATAGGGTATTAACTGCGGCGATCCACTTTTATTAACGTCCAACTGTATGTAATTCAATGTAGATGGTATTCCTATAGTATCACAAAATCTTGCAATTATTGTATTAATAAAAATTAAATTTTATCATATGATTTGTAAAATCAGCAAAATATAAATTAAATTTTACAAAATTAAATAAAAACATATTTAAAGAATATCGAATATGTAGTTAAAAGTTAAACGGTGTAAAAAGAAGAAAAAAAAATGCGAGAGGGAGAGATGTAGGAAATGCGCGAAAGGATGGAACTGCGTTGAATTCGCAAAGGTCTTACGAAGGAAGTAAAAGAGAAGGATGGAAGGGTGGAACATTAAAGAGCTTACACAGCGTGCCGCCGTCATTGTTTGGCCTTTGTGCGTCAGAAAAAACGGTGGCGCGCGCCAACGTATATAATAAACATAGAGCGCGTAAAAAAAAATGGTGAGTGAATAAAGGGCAGCCGAGAGAGGTTGAATAAACCCGTTCCCTCGCGCTGTATTTCCCTTTCCCCAGCGAGCAAAGAGGTGGGAGGAGGTTCAGGTTAAGGTGGAGACATGGGGGCGGTGGTCGACAAAGACAGAAACGCTCCCATTGAGAGCAAGCTCGCGATTTTCGGCGCTTTTTGTCCCGCGCGGACCGGAAGTCGCTCAGACGAGAACCGAGGCGTGCACCTCCTATGGCGATCTTCCGCGTATTATGCCGACGTCTGCTTCCGGTTCCTGACTTTGAAGCATCGCGCACACGCGTTTGTCTGTCTGTCGCGTCGTCTGACAATAAGATGTCATGTAATCGCGAGGAGACGTCATTTTTTAATGAGTAATAGATTTTTTCCCAGCAAACACCGATATATAATTGTTACATTGCTATAATAAAACGGAATATAACAGGTAATATAACGTGCACGTTACATGTAACATCCATGTTAGTTGTAATTTCCCACTCATAGATGTAACATTTTAATATAACATATATTACATTGTAGTTATATTGTAATTATATACCAAATAGCACATTGATGTATTGATAAGTCAGTGCTATCTTGGGATATAATGACAATATAACTACAATGTAATATATGTAATATTAAAAATGTTACATCTTGAGTGGGAAATTACAACTAACATATACGTTACATGTAACATGCTTAAGTATATAACATTTTATATACTGTGTTTGCTGGGTTCTTGACTTCCCAGCAAACACCGATATATAATTGTTACGTTGCTATAATAAAACGGAATATAACAGGTAATATAACGTGCACGTTACATGTAACATCCATGTTAGTTGTAATTTCCCACTCATAGATGTAACATTTTAATATAACATATATTACATTGTAGTTATATTGTAATTATATACCAAATAGCACATTGATGCATTGATAAGTCAGTGCTATCTTGGGATATAATGACAATATAACTACAATGTAATATATGTAATATTAAAAATGTTACATCTTGAGTGGGAAATTACAAATTACTAACATATACGTTACATGTAACATGCTTAAGTATATAACATTTATATACTGTGTTTGTTGGGTTCACACTCACCATTGCGCCACCTTGGTACCGTGACGAAGAGCTTGTTCCTCCAAATCTCGATGCCCACAGGCAGAGAATTCTCCGGCACGTATTCGCCGTTTCTGATCGCCAATTCTCTGCTGCGCTGATCCGGATACGCAAAGTCCAGCGTCTTCCAGACGAACTTTTCCACGAGCGGAGCACGTCCTGTCTGCATGCCCCATATTTGAATACCGTCGACGTTTCTGCTCCAGAGTGAGAGCAAGATCGAGAGGAGAGCCAGAGAATACCAGACGCAACGGCTTCTCATTTTCGTTATTCAATCTCTGTACACAAAATATATTTGCTTACAAATTTTAATTATATAATCATTATATTTTCTCTATATATAGATGGTGTGCGTGCAAGTGTAATTAGAAACTTGAGCATACAAATTTTATACAATATCACTTATAAAAACTTGTGACAGTTTCATATTTTTTCGATTCTACTTTGTCTTCAGAATACGTCTTTAAAATATTTATATCCCAATCTTTAAATTATAGATATCGCATTTTTTTATAATATTTACATTGAAATTATTGACTTACAAATTAGAGAACGTGCTTACATTCGTTATGTATACAGCTTGAGAAATAAATTGAACACCTTCAACAGAACGATACAGAATTCCTTTATCTACGCATTCTACATATATATATATATATATATATATATATATATATATTGTATCTTTTTATGACACGTGTAGTATTTAAAAAAATTATATAGTTCTTTAATAGTCTATATATCTTTATTTTTAATAAATAGCATATCCTTCAAATTGATAAAACTCCGCTAACTTTTAACAATGTACTTTGAACATATTTTTAAAGCTATTTTAAAATTTAAATACAATATATAAGACAATAAAAACTAATATGGAATGCTCTTAAATTATTAATAAAAATAAAACAACGTAGAAACATGCAATATAATTCAAATTATATATTAGAAGAAATTAACACTATTATTTATTCAATTCATGAATATTAACAAAATTATTTAATAAAAGATTATAATTTATAAAAATTACAGCAATTATAGATTTATCATAGTTGACTGTATTTGCATCAATCTCCTTATTAAACAATAATTAATAATAATTTAGCATTTACTATCTCTTCAATGTCTATACGTTACATCTACGTTAATATCCAATATTTTCGTTAATATTTAACGATAATTAATTATAATTTAGTATTTACGATAATTAACTATAATTTAGTATTTACGATAATTAACTATAATTTAGAATATAACGATATTCTAACTGGCATTGCAAAACTGTATTTATCTATGTCGTCGCGATAAGTGAGTAAAAAGTGAACGTACGAATAAAAATGCTAATTGTATGATAGAAAATTAACGTAAAAAATCTGCCTTGAGATTTATATCTTGTAATATAGGTACAATATTTTCTCTCGCACTAGTGTAGTAAAGTAAGGCACACATTGAATCGTTGAGAAATAAGTAAGCCATTTTCCGCACGCTAAATAGCAATCGAAAATCGAACTTTCGCGACAGGTATTGCAAAAATATAATTATAAATAATTAAACCGCCATTAAACGTGTCATGTGTGCATAACTGTTCGCAGTCTGTATAGAAACATATATATGTAGAGAGAAAGACATTTGAAATAATGCACATCTATATATATTCACGCATATTTAAGCGGATAAATGTTTTAAAAGCATTATATTAAATATTATTATTAACGATATATGAGCTATAGAGAGTTTATTTTGTTTAAAATATCAAAATTATTATTGATACATTAAGTTAAAAATTTTTGATGTAGCATTCTAAAACATATTTATAATAATTTATACAAAAAGATTATAATACGCGCTGCACTTTGACTATAAATGTAGTTTAGAGATATAAATATAGTTTATAGATTTGACTATAAATATAGTTTATAAAAATAGTATTTTATTATATACATACATATATCTATTAGATATCTATTAAATATCTAGTATATATATATATATATATATATATATATCAATATGTAAATTAACAATTAAATTAGTTTCCCTGTTATAAATTATTGAAATTTAAAAATAGAAAACGTTAATTAGATGCGTGTATTTGTTACATTCGATATCTTAAATATGCATTTATTGCGATTTTATACAGACTCGTATCTAACTTATCGCATTCTTATACATAAATTAATTAAATAGATATCATATATTATGTATTATGTATCAATTTTATCAATTTGTAGCAAAAGCAAAAAAAGTGTAGCTCAATGCAATTGCTAGTCAAATTTAGTTACAAGAAAAAGATTGATGTAAGATTGATTTTATTTAATCAAAAAAATCCTCAATCAAAGAATATAGTAAAGAATATGTAGAAAATATTACGAGAAGGAAATACATTTCACATTATTTCCTCACATTTATATTCTTTATATTTATTTATAATGTTTTCATTTCTCTAAAATAATGTTATCATTTTTCGGTTCTATTAAATGTCACAGTTTAACAAAATCTGTCTGCTGATTTAGAAAATAAATTATGATACCACGGAATTACGTAAACTTACTTTCTAATAGCCTGCAACTTTTCAGTTAATAAACTCTAGTCAACAATTTCCACTCAACTATTAAATATTATTTATTTAATTTAATTATCTAACAAATAATTATAAAATAGTAAATAAATTAAATTTAAATACAATACAATTATTGAATCTATAATATAGCATGTTGCACGTGCATATTTTAGACAATTGTTAAATGTATAGCTCTAAATAAAGATTCGCAAAAATTTAAAAAGCAAGAAAGTTGAAAATTCGAAACAAACTCTTAACAAAATATAGCGTCATATTTTTTTAAATTTCTGAAACAAAACGAAATTTAATTCAAAGATATTGGATAATACAAAAAAATTAGAAAAAGAGAAAATATAGGTTCTCCTACAATACACTTCTCGATCTTATGTATCCAAAAATTAAATGAAAAATATCTCTTTTCCACAACATAATCTGAGAAATACAGCTAATCTTCTCTTAATTACAATTTCATCACTAATCAAAAAAGCTCTAAAATCTCACTGTAATAATTTTCATCTCGCATCCCTCGATATTTACCGCATTTATCCAAAACAGAAACACGCGATGTGAACCAGGATCTTCAGAATCGCACCCGAGCGAAGACACAGAAATACTAGATAAATTGGAGGATTGACGAGAAACGCGAGAAGAGGGATGAAAATCGCGACTTTGTACTCTAAACACTCGGAAAGTCACCGGCGCTCCTTCAGTCCTAAACTGCATGTTCCCGTAATACGCTCGCTATATATAAAGCACCCTGGGTCTTATACGACTAAATCGTGCCTCATATCACGTGGAAACCCGTACCCCCCGGCATAGAGAGAAATGCATCTTGACGGTTGCACTCGTGCTCGCGCCTATCCAAACCTATATCAACCAGTACGGACATTGTGTGCACCTGCACTTATGCGTTTAGACGCGTCGATCTAATCTAGTCTAGGAGAGGGAAAAGGCATACGCTTCACGCGTGCCTTAACTTTAGTTATTATTGAATTTATCATCAGTGATATCTATCTCAGAAATGTGCATTTCCGGAAAACCCGTAATTTACTACTGAAAGGAATAATAAAGTGTTTGAAAGATGTCTCTCTTCTACGGAATCACATTTGAATCGCAAATTCTTGAATGAATTCGGAGGGTGTCGATTACAGAGATAAAATTGTTCTCTTTAATTTACATAAAGTTCTCTTCTTGCAAGTAAAAATTTGCTCTTTATATTATTCTCGGATAGTCGCTGTTATAAATAATTAATGTTGTATATGAATAAGAAGAATTATATTTATTGGAATGATCGAAAATAATAGAAAATTTATGTAAAATGTTTCATGATTACACAGTTAATACGTAACATTATACCATAAATTAAATTACAATTCTCAAATAGCGTGCAACAAGTCACGATTTCTCCCGTTTTTAACTAAGTTGCTGCTAAATTGCGAGCATTTTAAAAGTTGCGAAGTAAAGCAACGTATTGCAAGTGACTAGTCTTGCCATAGTTGGACATACAATTGCAGGCAAACTCGCGCAATGAGAGCAAACGAGATATGAGCAAGCATTTCTATATAAATCATAATGGACAATCGATCTGCGCGCACAATTGTATTTTTTTAAAATTTAATGTCAGCCGTGGACGCAAACGCGATTAAATTGAATCTGATAGCGATTTAATTAAATTCATAAATCTGCCATCGGGGAGAACCGCTCGGACTCTCTCGGACACGTGAAAAAAAAATGAGGGGGACAGAAAAGTCATTCGTTAGCCGTAACGAGGTGACGACAAAAAGCCGCCGTCTGTCTCACGGATGATCGGGGCTCCCGGGAATAAATTCCCGAGAGCTCTCCGTTATCTTCTCCCGCGCAAACTGACGGCTGAAATTGCGTTCGGTCCACCTTCTCGTCGCCCTCTCTTTCCTTTCCTCTTCCCTATTCATCCTCCCCACCCACCGACTTGGCTGCGTTTCATTAATCAGCGCGCTCTTCCTGAAGGATGCAATCAGAATTTGCGAAAATGAATAATTGCCGGCGGGCGAGAAACACTATTTCGGTTTAATTATCGACGACACGCGCGACATTAACGATAAAATCGAATGCAAGATCGTTTGGCCGAGAATTGTCTTCTAGCGGAATACGTTAGTTGTATTAAAGAGAAAAAAAAGTAAAGCGGAGTGATAAAAATAATCCGATAAATGTATATCCTGAAAAATGTTTGGTTCTGGCGTCGTTCAATTTGCGCCGTAAAGAAGTCAGGAAATCTCCTTTTGCCTCTCCTTCGAAGCAATAACAAGATAATAATTATACGACAGTTACGTGATTTGAGGAAATTGAATGAGATACGGAGTTCTTGGAGTTCCTACTTTCGTAAAAATCGATAAAAGCCCGAGCAATTTACAGTTTATGTTTATGGTCTAGAAATTTAAGCGATCTGCAGCGCAAACATCACGTCGTTTTAACTTATAAATTATTAATACACGTCTGCTAGACATGTTTTTACTATCGAGGAAATATTAAAGTTTTACATAAAATATAAAATGACACAACACAAGTGACAAATTGAAATTCTTGAGATATCAACAAGCTTAGCAGTCATGCCTCACGAATTCTAATCAGCTGTTATTTATGTAATCGCTTGATTAACGGATTAAATCATGTGCTACTTATTTTACCCATTTGCATGTTTGGTTTCACGAACGTTAGATTCGAAATCA